TTCTCTCTTGTAATCTCATACCTACTTTGCTTGGAGACATTCTACATTGTTTCCACACTCGCACCATGAAGAAAAGAGGTACTCTTTTGTGTTGCATTCAATTGTTGTCTAGGTGGTTTATTTCGCACCTACCTCGATCATCATTGAAGAATGAGCAAGGATTGACATGGTCTCAAAGGATGATGTCACTCTCACACTCGGATATTCATTGGTGTTCTCGATCTTTGGAGGATACTACCATCATCGACCATTATGGGGAATTCCCTAATGTCCCACTCTTGGGAATTATGGGAGGTATCACCTATAACCCTTCTCTTGCATTACAACTGCTTGGGCATGTGCAAAGAAATGGTCCCCATGATGCGTTCATCCAAGGTTTGGTATTCGACTATGAGGGAGACGTCCAAGGCTATCGTCAAAAGTTCATACGAGCTTGAAGAATGGTAAGCAAAACGGATAGCAAGACTTTGGAGCATAAAAATTCCATCCCTCTTGAGCCTTACCACAAATGGGTACGAACTCGTGCTCAAAGTCTCATGATGCCTTACCCCGCCATCCTACCTGTGATATGGAGCTCGTTGCTGAGGGAGACACCCCTTACACTCTTCTTCATCCTTAAATGCATGCCGACTTCGAGGAATTGCAAAGATCGTGGATTAAACTCAAAGGGGAACAAGATACCTTTGAAGCATAGTTCTACGCAAGTGAGAAGAAGGTTTTAGAGCTCACGAGGCAATTTCATGAAGAGCAAAGACTGAATGCCTAGATTGCACCAAAGAGGATACGCCTATGGGAAGCTTGAGTCCTTTTTGTTTTAGGAGTTTATTTTGTATTATTTTTTATTCTTCCATTGTAAGCCCAATAGAGGCACTGCTTTTTCCCGCCAATATCAATATAACGCTGATCTTGCACCAACTAGGGTGCAATTGCAAGGAATGACCATGGGTACCAATGAGGGCTTCAAGAATATGCTAAAAAATGGAAAGACCTGGCTGGAAGGGTGCAACCACCATTAACTGATAGAGAATTGGTAGACATGTTTATGGGAACCTTGACTGGACCATTTCTCAACTTACTGATTGGAAGTTCATCATCCGGATTCACTGAATTGATCTTGACTAGTGAGAGGGTTGAAAGCAGGATTAAAAGCGGGAAAATATCGAGGGCCTCAACCTCTGATGTTGTGAAAAAACCATTTGCTAGCAAAAAGGAGACTAATGGTGTATATGGATCAAGAAGCCTTACTAAGAATGACCGCCATCATTCAGTAGGGGCAGTATTAATTTCCAATCTTACACCTACTCAACAACAACAAGGGAATAGGCGAAAGACGAAGTTTCAAGAAAGGCAGTATACTAAGATCAATATGTAATTGTCTCAAGCATTGCAGTACTATCTAAAAGTGGAGTTGGTTACATTAAAGGATCCTCCCTAAAACCCTGACACCTCCTCTCCTAAATACAACCCCGATGCCAAATACGCTTACCACTCAAACACCACCGAACATGATACCAATAATTGTTGGTCTCTAAAGAACAAAATCCAAGACGTAATTGATAACAAGACAATTGAATTCGACTCTCCGTCAACTTCCAATGTAATCACCGCACCTATGCCAAATCATAGTAAGGGTGTCAATGCTATTGAAGATGCCTCTTCTGTTTCCTCTATCAATGATTTAACTACTCCTTTGAAGACTATCAAAAAGAATTTGTTGAAAGCCGGAGTATTCCATGGTGTAACACGGTGGGAGAACTGACTTGGTTGTTTTGCGTTTGATGGAAAATGTTGTGGATAGAAAGAGTAGCCACCGGCTTTTCTTTTATCCAAAAGGAAAGGCTGAAAAGAACAGGAAAGACCTTTGAGATGTTTTCTTGAGTTCAGGGGGTAGATTATGAAAAGGGAAGGTATTAGCACCCTTTTCATCCGTAGTTATCTACAGGCTCTTAGTTGCTTGCTAGATCACTTTCTTTTGTTTGAATGTGTGCTTATGGTGTGGGTTTTGAAAGTGTTTTGAAGATGTGACTTTGTAATGGCTCTCGTTTCTATAAGAACGCGTACAAAGTGTTGTTTTGAAAATAGTTCAAAGAAGTGTTTATGGAATGTGTTTTTTGAAAGTGATTTTGAAAAGGTGTCTTCTTTGTAATGGCTCTCGTTTCTATAAGAACGCGTACAAAGTGTTTGTCTTTTGAAAATGTTTCAAGATGAAAGTGTTTTTAAAAGTGTTGGTGTTTGTTTTTTTTAAATAGCAAGGATGTTTTGGTTTGAAAATGAGGAAAAAACTAGGAACATTCTACCTACTCAAAAGTCTTTCTTGTTTATTTCCTCTTTCCTTTGACATTGTTATCTTACCATTGATTTGGTAAGAAACCCTATCTTTGGATGTAAAAGGGACGGGCAAGGGTCATCGTATAGTCATGAATAGAAATGTTGTAAGATATCTTAGCATTTTCTTGGAGGGACTAAGATCATTTGTAAGGCAACATTTGTAGCGTCTTCGAGGGACTATGATCTGGTATTTTTGCTTGTTTTTGCTAAGACATCTTACATGCACATTATGATCATTTATTTCTCAAGGAAACAAGTGGATTTACCCTAAGGGTGTAAGTGTGCAAGTGTGTCTTTTTCATGCTTGATTTGTCTTGTATTAGAATTTTCTAAGCATTGATTTTATCTTTCCATACAAACCCTAATTTACTAGCATTTATATATAAAGCACTAAATTGCGGAAAATAAAAAAACTAAGTTATTACATCAATAGGGGAGGGGTGTACAAATTTACAAATGGGGAAATTGCAAGAAGATAAAATCTAAATAATTATTACAACCATATTGAATATTGTACAAATATGAAGATAAAAATGCAAGAATGCAAAATGGAAAAAGAAATTATTTTTGTTTGATTTTCATGAAAAGGTTTTAACCTAAACCTAATTAAGAAAAATGATTAATGAAAATTAAATAAAATTAACTTAAACTAAATAAGAAAAAAAATTAACTAAAAAAAGATTTTTTTAGGGTTTTATTTATGAAAAGGTTTTAAATTAATAAAAATAATTTGAATATTAATTAATTAAAAGAAACCTAAGTTCTAAGTTAATTTCAATTACAAGAAAATAATATAATAGTTAAAACTAAACCTATATATTAATTATTAAGAAAGAAATTAATTTATTAAGAAAATATTTTTGTTCTTTTAGTTTTTATAAAACAAATAAACTAAATAAGTGTAAAAATAATAAATAATGTATATATTTTTTTTATTAATAAAACTAAAACTAATATTTAATAATAATAATAATAATAATAATAATAATAATAATAATGATAATAATAAAGGAAAAAGAAATATAAGAAAATAATAATAATAATAATAATAATAATAATAATAATAATACACTACAAGAAAATTAGTGTTTAACGACACAAAAATTGCGACAGTTATGTGATAACTGTCGTGATTGACATATAGAGACAGTGTTTACGACAGTTGACACCAACCGTCCCTAATATTTATTTTGCGACGGTATATTTAACCATCATAATATTATTATTACGACGGTAAAACAACCGTCGGCCTCCATTTAACACTTTTAACATTGATTTTTCACCAACAACTAGTCACGACGGTAAAATTAACCGTCCTAAAAGGCATATCACGACGGTAAAGCACCCGTCGCACCCTTAAACCTTTCACGACGGTAAAATTATCCGTCCTAAAATTTATTTCACGACGGTAAAACAACCGTCGCACCCAAAACCTTTAAAAATTATTTTTATGATTTTTTAGGTTTTCTAATTTGTTGTTTTAGGGTTTGATTTGATTATTAGATTAAATATGCAATAAAATGTGAAAGGCTAACCTCTTAGCATTACTTCCTCTCTCTATGATTCCTCTTTCTTTCTTCTACATTTCTCAAAACTGGAACTAAAAAACTCCAATTTCCTCTTCAGTTCATGACAATCCCGCAACAACAAAAAAAGACAGAACACATGAGGTTTACCTACACGATTCCAACTTGTGTCGATGGATAATTTGGCCGGCGGCTTTGGTGTGTGTGACGATCGGAGTTTATGGCCGAAGCAATAGCGGCGGCCGGTGGTAGTTGAGAGGATGATGGCGGATTGTTGAGCAGCAGAGGGACCTCACATCGGCTGTGTATGCTATGTGGAGAGAGACAGTGTGCGTTGTGGTTGTGTGGGTCATACGGAGGTGGCTGATGCAGAGAGGGTCTCTATGTTTGCGGAGATGTGGCTATGACCCAACAAGGGCACCATTGTGGTTGGTGACAGTGACCAGTTATGCACGGTGGCTGGTCGGTGGTGACATTATGTATGGCGTGGATTCGAATCTGTATGTGTCGGTCTCGAGGTATCATTCTGGCGAACAAGCTTTTGGTTTCTACTTCAATATCCTTTCTTTTGCATATAGAAACTTGGATTATATTTATGTGTTATGATATTGTATTATGGTTTTTAACAGGTTGTATGAATTAATGGTGATTTGTTTTGACAAGTTTGGCTTATGGTGAAAATAGAGTTTATGTTTGGTTTTATGGGCTGTTATTGTTGTGATTTGTTATGATAAAAAATGGTGGATGATAGGTAGAATGATTTTATCAAATACCACTTGATTTATCAGAAATAAAGAATGACTTATTGTTGGATTTTTGTTAAATTGTATGTTGAATAAATTGTGTAATCGATAGATATTTGTAGTGATATAAATGTGAAAGGGATGTGTATACTATGTACAAGATTTAGTGTGAGAGTGTTAGTTGTAGTGTAAAAAGTGGAAAATTGTTAAGAAATTGGTGAATGAGAATAGGTGTATGTGATTGATGGTTGGGACACTAGAAGCAAAACGTGAATTAAAAAAATAGTGTGGAGGATATGTGAACAATGTCAATTGTGTTAACAAATAATATAATGAGTTGATTTAAAGAAAGCTCCATCAGAGAGCGCCATCAGAGAATTGGTATTACAGGATACTGCTGCTTATGACAGGTCAGTTGGAAAATGCAACAGTTGCTGTTGATGCATTGTCTGTATGGTAAGTTATTAGTGAGTAACAAGTATTTGAGATTTACAAGTTTTATATTTATTAGTTATTACAGTATTGGAATTGGTTTTGCAGTATGACTATCAATGAATTGGAATTGATTCCATTTGCCTTCTTTGCCTTCTGGTGCTCATGCTATTGCTGGTTCTTTAGAGAAACTTGTTGGTGGTCTTGATGGTTCGATGAGTCAGCGAGATGCTAGTTTAGAGTCCATAGCTACAATTCTTAAAAATAATCCAGGTGCTGTCTCGAAGTTTGTGGAGCTTCAAAATGGAAGAGCGCTGCGTTCTGTAATTGAATTAACCAGGGATCGATTCTCCCGGACAATGTTATCTAATTTATATTTTATTAATGATAATTATATGCTTACCTTTGATTGGTTCAAACATGAACTCTTCTCCCCAACTCTTCATCTCTTTCCCAAAAGTTATACTTCCTGACTAATCGTATTTACAGAGATTTTACCTCATTAGTTCTTAGTTTTGTTAAAGTTAGTAAGTATAACTATTTCAATGTTGTCTTCCAGGTTGCAGCCCTTGGTGCTATTAGCAACATAGTAGTGGACTTTACACCAAATAAGTCAACAATCATACAATGTGGAGGCATTAAAGAGCTTGTCCATTTGACAAAGTCTATAGATTCATCTTTAAGGTTGAATGTTGTGTGGTCCTTGCGGAACATGATATTTCTTGCGGATAAGATGTGCAAGGAAGCAATTTTTATGGAGTTGACTGCTTCTTCAGTAGCTACCCTTATCTGTGGTAATAATCTTCTATCATTCCATTTCTGATTAATTGATGCCTGTCAAAAGAAAGTTCTCATTGATCAGAAATAAAAAATTGTTATTTGTTCTGTATACTTTGCAGATCCTGAGCCTTCTGTTCAAGAGCAAGCTTTGGCCCTTGTTCGCAATTTTGTTGATGGATGTATGGATTGTGTGGAATTTGCTTTTGCTGAAAATGGTATCATACTGGATGCTGTTGGAAGGCAATTGAAAAAATCCCCAAGAATTGAAATCATTATACAGGTGGAAACAATTTCTGAAACTGATCAGACATTACAATAGGCATTGATATCCAAATTTGGAGAATGAATTATTCATTAAATTTTCCCAGTTTGCTTACCGATCCTTTTGTTTTAATGATACATCTATCGAGCCATTATGGGTATAAAATTTCCGATGCTTATGGTATAATACAAATTAAAACTATTGTTGTAGTCGTTTAATTAAAACTGCCTCATACCTACAAGTATTCTAATAAATCTCAAAAGCAGGTATTAAAAGTAAACCGATTTTCCCCCAGCAGGTATTTGAAAACGAAAACAGCCATCAGATTGAAAATTTATTCTTCATGCTGATTTTTTTTCCTGTTTAGGGGATGTACGCAGTCAGCAATATTGCAAGTGGAAACGAGTTTCATAAAGAAGCCATAATGCAGATGATCTTTCCACAAGCAGAAAGTGGACCTCAGTCATTCTTGAGTCAGTATTTGCAGAGTAATGACAGCCGTCTACGCACATCTGCTGCTTGGATCATAGTAAATCTCACTGCTCCTGCAAGCCCCGGTGCATTTGGCCGGATTGCAAAACTGCGCAATTTTGGCCTTGTTGCTCAAATCAAGAGGATGGCCAGTGACCCTTGCATGGATGTTAAGGTCCTTTAATCTTTATATCAAGTTGTTGTCTTTTTAATACTTTCTCTTGGTTAATTTGTAAATTTTCTTTTGTTGATGCAGCTTCGAGCACGAGTTGCACTTGGGCAGATTATTTCTTTTGGTGATAGTTAAATCAATCAGTTCCTCCTTTTAGAGCACCTTATAAGTTGCTCCTTCTGCTTCCAGCTTCCAAAACGGTATGCTTCAGTGGTTTACTTCAACAACTTTGTCTCTCCTAGAAGTTCCTTTCTAGATATTATTTTAATAGGTTATGTTTATAAGTGGGGTAATTTTCATCTTAAGCTAGTTTTGTAAGATTGAGTTACACCAAACCTAAATTCTAAGATATGCAATTGAGAAATGGAATTAAATCTGATAAAGCTGGTTGTCGTTCTCTATGAAGCACAAATACGGATACCTGACATGATATCGATACTGACATGTTGACACTAGTGATAATTAAAAAACATAAATAAATTGAACGTAATCACATGCGTGAGTGTCGGACCCAGACACACATTTGCTCACAAGTGTCGGTGCTACAATGATCGTTCTATGTATGGGATAAATATTGATTTTTCTTTCTCTTGCTCTGCTTTGTTCTAGTGTGTTGTTTCACTTGAAGGTTTTGTAACATGTTCTATTCTATTCTAATGTGTCCAATTCGTTAATGCTTTTTAAATGCTTCCATTTGCAGGTGCATCAATTTGCTTTTATTTTTTTCAACCAGTCAGAGCAGTGTAAATATTTTCAATTTTGTAAGCACTCCTGACCCGGTTACCATTCCCTCCCCCAAAGTCTATTATTTCTTGTGAGTTGGAAGCTCAAAGTAGATTTACAGGCTATACAGTATTTGTACCATGTGAGTAGTCAGTGTCGATTTTAGAACTTAGTTTCAACTTCATTGCGGTTCTGATGCAGTGACAAATAGTGGAGTTTTATGGGTAAGCAAAGTGCTGAGGGGTAGTGTTTGAAGGTGTTTCTAGTATTCGTGCATACCTTGTAACTTGTAAACTAGTTTTGTGGTTCATAAATTGCTTGTTCTCTTTTCGGAGAAAACAGATGACTCAATTTTGTTTGAACCTAAATAATGCTTTGTTATTTACAGCTAAATGATGCCTTCTAAATGGGTCCCGGTGCATTTTCTTGTCATGAATATATATGACTGACATGACATGAGGCTCTAAACTATTTAAGCTATTCTTTGTGCTGAGCTTCTAATTCATCACAAAAAGTTAGGGGCAATTCACGCAGTTGAAGGCTCTAGGGAATAGCAAGCGCTAAACCTAGAATAGAAAAACAAAGTTAGAAGTACAAAATTACAAAATCTGTCAAATAAGCTGGAATCTACTGTTGAATGCTTCCAACTTTGAGATTATTGCTGAAATTATTGTGGTTTGTGGGGTTGGAAAGCATAGAAGTGAAAAAGGGGAATCATCAATTAAAGCATTGGGTCAGAAGATGTTGATGGAGATGAAAAGTCCACTCAGGATTGATAAAAGGAAGATGGATGCTTTGTTGGTAAAGGTAAAGCTGTTAACATCTGGTTATGTGAATTGAGGAAGCCATGATTTTGCTTCTATATATGATGTTATGTGCTTTCGCAGACAACAGGAAGCCGAGGAAATTCAGGGCCTGTTTGTGGTTCTAAAATAAATGAGTTACCTAACAACCATTCATCAAACACACTGTCTAGGAGTGAAGTTATTGCTTCCAAATGGTAGTCAAGGAAGGATCATGGTCCTAGCATGGAAGTTTAACACAAAATCACTTAACACTAAGGACTTTCATGAATTTTGTAGAATATTGTAACATTTTTTGTAATTCTCTCAAGTTGTAGCAAACCAATGTAAATATTAAAATGAAATTTGGCCTTTGATGATATTTGAATTTTTCTTGTTTATTGGTAAAATTTGCACTTCTTTTTACCTTTGATCACATTTTTTTTGATATTATTGATGATTATTTGATATTAAATGTTTTTATTGTAATTAACTTTATTATGTTGAAAAGTGATAGAAAATAAAATAAAAATACTATAAATAAAAAAATATTAAAGTAAATAATAATTTAAATATAATAGTAAAATAATATTATATTTAAAATTATTTTACTAAATAATAATTTAAATAAAAATATTATTTGAAATTTATAAATCAGATTACGACGGTTAAAACCGCCGCAATTTCTAACCTACGGCGGTAGAATAACCGTCGCAAACAACAACAAAAACAAAAAATAAAGTCAAATTCACGACGGTATATAACCGTCGCTATCTGTTGTGCGTGACAGTTTTTGCAACCGTCGCGAAATAGGCTGGGGACGCACGATTCTGCGACGGTACTTCTACCGTCGTAGATTGTAAATTGCGACGGTTTTAACCGTCGTAATCAGCCAAAATAACCGTCCCAATCTATCATTTTTCTTGTAGTGATAATAATAATAATGAAAATTGGGCCAGGGGTGCTAAAGCAAATCAGGGGTTAGTAAAAGTAAAATAAACAGGCCCAAGTTGGAGGCCACACCTGTTCAAACAAAAAAAAAAGGAAAACAGAAAAAATGTGAAAAAATGATATAACGGACGTTGGGGCTCGAACCCAGGTCCAAGGGGTGACAGGTGCGCGCTTTAACCACTGGGGTGGTGATACATCTGTTAACATTGGCACAATAATAAATACATAACACATATTTTGCCCTGACTGTACATCATCTTCTACCTCCAGCCAAAGGATTTCAAACTTACTTATTCCTTAACCATTTTCAGAAATGTAAACATGAAACTTGTGGAAAATTTCCTCACGATTTCAGAAATGTAAAGCATTAAAACTATATATCAAAGACAAACATGAATTTTATTGGCCCTAATCTGAAACCTAAGAAATTCAGAAACTTCAACTATAAAATTCTCAAAGCTCAAACCATATAAATGCAAACTATGGATATGTACAGCTTCGTGGCAATGAGGTCTATATTTTATCTTTGAAAATGGAAGCCTAACAATGCCTATATGAATAGTTCAAAAGTCAAAAAACTCACCTTGCAAGAGGGTATCGTGTTTTTAGTTTGAGAAGTTTTTGATGAGTTCCAGTGATTGGGTTAGCTTCCTCAAGTTCCCGTGAAGCTAATGTGATGTTTGGCTTGAGCTGAAAGTGGCTGAGGAGTTCTGGAGAAGTCCACTTGCAGTGCTCTATTTTTGAGTTTGGACAATTGTGGAAATGGAGTTACAGAACTGTAACAGGTATTGGGATGAGTTGTGAATGATGTTTAGGAACTTTTAGAATGGTTTGGAGAGGAAACGCACGAGTAACTTGAGAGATGGGAGTGTAAGGTCAATTTTCTGCACAAAAATGGAGTTTTGTGTGAAATCTGAGTTTGTGTGAGTTTAAGGGCTTAAGCATGCCTCCTTTATCTTGCAAATAGTGTATGTACTTATAGGCAAGAGGTTTTGTGTGCTACCATAAGTCAGAATTTGAATTTACATGTTTAAGCTCAACATGTGATTTTCTTGACAAAATAAATTTCCATGCCTTTATACTTGCTATTGTAGAGTGGTTGGACTTTAAACAAGCTTCCTTCTGACTTTGTGGATGGAGTGTACTTAAAGAGAACAATTTAGGAGCTCAAGAAACTGACTTTGTACATAAAGCTTGTTTTACAAGAATGGATATGGTGACTTTCTCCCTAAAATGGCAAAGTGCTTTGGACAATGCTTGAATCAATTGGACAATTGATCAATAAGTTGTGTAAACATTAAATTAAGGAGTGATAAACAAGTTTGAGGCCTGCAAAGTGAAGATTATGCATCATGGCTATGGATTTGGTTCATTGTGCATCACAAATTTTTCCTTGTAAAACAACTTGAAACCCTAACTTCTGGCCTTCGATTCTCCTTGTTCACAAATGATCTCAAAGAGTTTTTGGACATTTTAGAAAGATTTTAATGTACTCTACAACCCCTCTTTAATCACTTTTGCAAAATCCAAATGGAACCATGTGAAACTTGGCTCAGAAGTTAGGTCAAAATCCTGACTAAAATGCTCAAAATTTCACTAAGTGTTTTAGTTTCATGACCATGATTTCATGGATTAATAACTTAAAATCCAAGAATTTCTATGAGCAGTTGTGTAAAACAATGTTTTAGATATCATTTAGATCTACAAATTTCATGTTTAAAGTTTCCTTTGAATCATCTTGCATCATGGTGAAAAAATGGCTCAATGTTGTGAAAAAATATGAAGTTTCCAACACTTAGAAAAATTTCTAAGTTTGGAAACTTTAACTTTTCAAAATGAAATCTTGACTTTTTTATTTCTTGATGAACAAGTTTCATATTTTGACATGTTTTGATGAATTGTGATCTTTCACACTTGATTTTGACCAAAAAGTCAAAGTTTTACTTTTCACTATATCAGTTGACTTTTGATCAGTTGACTGAAAATCAACTATCAATCAATTGATCTTGAGAAATGTTTTGAGTCATTCCATTAGGTAAAAATGATTCATTTGAAACCTTGAGATCATGTCTCAAACCAATTAACCAATTGCTAGGTCAAAAATCAGAAATTGCCCTTTCTCAGTCAAAACCCTAATTTTGACCATTTTGCCCTTTTGATGATCTAATCAAATTTCTTGAGGAATTGTGGTCCAAACTTGATCAAATGACATATATGAGTTCACAATGTTGATATGGATCAAAATTTATGAAGTTTGACTATAAATTGACCATAATTGACTTTTTCCCCAATACAATGGATTTTTAGGTCAACTGATCAATTGCTGAGCAAAAATGTGATCCAAGACTTGAAACATGACACAAGCAATATTGAGGGTCCATAATGATCCATGATAGTTATATGAGACATCAAAATTTAAATTATCCTTGTGCAATCTCAAACCCTAATTTTAGTCATCAGTGCTTAAGGAGGTGTCTTGAGCTGCTCAATCCTTGAGCAGTCTTGAACCAAAGGAGATCATGTAAGAAAATACTTGATAAATGAGAGGGTAAATTTTGTGGCACAACACCTGGATTCCTTGAAGACTGTTGCTGATTTGCTGTATAAACTACTAGTTTTGAATGGCTTAAGAAAGGTGTCCAACACCTGATGGATAGCCATGATATTCTATTTGAAAGA